CAGCAGGATAAGTAAGTCACAGAGGGAAGCTTCAGTCCCCAACTAAGGAACTGCAAAGTGCACTCAAGTTATCAGTGTAGTATTTATTAGATATTTTGCTCTTCTCCTGCAAGACAGGAGAAGATGCTCCTGTGTCTTCATGTATTTTTCAAAGAGATATTTAAAATCATGGATCTGTTTTAAAAATTCTAGACCAGCAAAAATGAACCTTGTTTCCTGTTTTCTAGACAATGTCTGGTACCTATAGTTTTAAACCCTTCAACCGTGACAGAAAAGATTTGTAGAATTCTTAGATATATGTATATTTGTGTGTGTGTTTACTGTGAGAAGTAGGATTTAGCTGACAGTTTAGGAAATTGTGCTTTTGACACTTACTCAGCAACTCAGCATGGCTCAGAGTGCTTTCACGAGAGCAGCCTGGGCAGTGGGATGTTGAAATGTCTCAGTTCATGCAGTTGTTTGGAGGGAATCCGATGTATTAACTGGATGGACAGAGGGAGGTGATCTGGAGGAGCAGTGGATAGTGACACCTTATTTAGGAGAGGGAGCACCCAGTTTCCTGGCATGTTAAGCATCTGCTTCTGTAGGAGTCTTAGTCTAGATTGCAACGACCTTGAGTTGAAAAGCATCTTTCCTGCTAAGTTTCAGTCCTGATAGCAGCACCCTGCAGAGCCCATAAACTCTAGCTCCAACTTGGAATCAGCCTTGGGTTCTGACTGTAGCACAAGCAGTAGCTCATATCTGTTCATGCCGTTATTTCTGTCTAACTTTGTTTTCCAGTGGTCTACAGTCACCACGTACCAAGCAGTAGCTTGCAAGGCTTCCCGTACTCTTAACTGTGCTTGTAACTGCCTTATCTCAACTGCAGAACCTTTATTATCTTACTGCTAACTCGGTATAGTTTGTCTGAAGCTTTGTATATGCTTTGAGTTTTAATAAGCTTAACCTTTTTCTTCCTGACTAACTTTGAAATTAAATTGAAACAACTGAATCTGTTTGGCTTGAGTTAAAGATGAAGGATTTTTTAGGACATAATAACATAATAAACTGTTCATGGTTTTTGAGGTTTCTTTTTAGCTGTTGTTGCTTTTTGTTTCTCTTTTTTTTAAAACTTTTTTGAAAATGAGAGGGGAAGGATTTTGAGCTTGTGATCATTCTCAACTTGATGATTCTGTTACAGGGAGCTACCAATGTAATGTATTTTTAAGATTAATGTTTTAAATGTGTTTCTTCTACACTTAACTCCCTTTTTTCCCTTTTTTTCCACTTTCTCCCTTTTTTTTGTTTGTTTGTTTTGATATTTTGCATAGGCATTAAGTGGTGAAGGCCAACTCATTTATCAATCTTCCCTTTTTACTTTGTGTCTTTTCTTCTACAAGAAAATATTGGGGAAATAAGAAATGGCTTAGTCGGTGTCACTCAGCTTCTTGCTCAGAGGCAGTTTACCAGTGTCAAAGAAGTCTATTTGAAGGCTTTTTTCCCCAATATTCTCAGAGGTGTAAGGTATAACCCAAGCAATGCTGTGTACTTTATGTGGATTTGCATTGCATTTCTGACTTGGCAGTGCTGTTGTTTGTTCTTCTTGTATGGAGACTTGACTCTGCTGTTGATACCTATATTCTTTCTCCTCACAAACCCACCACTGTTGATTGTAGGTCTGATGAAAGTGATTCCTCTCTGTCGGAGGTACACAGGTACTCTCTCTTCTCTTTTCTGTTTTCCTGGCATCATTCAGTGAAGTTATTCCAATTCTTAGGCGGTTTCATTTCGCTGCATGAATTTTCCTGATTCTTGTGTGCTGCATCTCTTTTGCTTTTACCAGAGGTTAAATACTGGAAATTTTGGTCAAGCATGTCTCCCACCCTCACACCCCTTCCTTTTCTTAGGATGTTTCTGTTGAGCATGTCAGGTTTTATTTTTCTTTATAAATAAAACAGGGTGTAAAACTTTTTTTAGACCCATGCCTTTTGTCTTTTCTTTCTCTTTCAAAAAGAGCAGCAAACATTTTCTTTGGTTTTATGTGCTTCTCTTTTCCTGTTTCCCCCTCTCCTTTGGTTGTATGTTCTGATAACTAAAAGTTACGTTCCAGGGCAAATAAAACTCAGTAGCTTCTACAGTGTCTTGCCAACAGCCTGCACCATGGCTGAAGAGATGCAAGTGTGTCCCTACTCATGTTCCAAGGGAAAACAGCTGTGAAAAATAAGAGTGTACCTGGAGAAGGCAGCAAAAGGGCTAATAATATTATTAATAATAATAATGTGATGGGGGCTCTGCCAGTTGTTGTGGCGCTCCAGGCACTGGAGTGTGTAGATGCCAAGCTCTTGTCCATGGGTTATAACGAGACTGGTGAAGGGAATGGTGGGTGGAAAGAGCGGTAGGAAGCAACTCGGTCTAAAGGCAACATGTGCACAGAGCACTGCAGAGTCTTGAATAGCGTTAGAAGACAGAAGCGTGGAGACCTAAAACAATGAAATACACCCAAAGTGCATTATCTGCCCCCACATTTTTAAAAGTGTTGTTAAAGGATGCAGAGGTGAATTCCTTTTCCAAGTTGAGGAAGTTGCAAGACAAACGATTTCAGGCAATATTTATATTAGCGACATCTACCAAAGAATTGTAGTAGTGAGTTATGTAAATGTGAAGGTGCCCTGAGCAGTAAAAATATACAGCAGAACCTATGTATTTCTAAGACTGTAGCAATAAGCTAATTGCCACAAGGTTGGTTAGTATTAGCATAAAGACTTTTTTCCCTCCTTCAGCAAGTTTCTGTTTGACTGGGAATGTTAGAGAATTGTTCTGTTTTCCTAAAGCATCTGAGACTGATGGGTTTGGGGTTTCTTATTATTTTCTTGGTTTTTGGGGGGTTTGTTTTGTGAGATGGGGCTCTGACTCAGTTCCTATTTCTCATGTTCACACTTGTAATCCCCCAGAAAGCATTACTGCTAGCTGGTTGGGCTGCAGCACTGCATGCATGTGGAGGCACTGCCTGGAGGCTTTTCTGCACAGAAAACACTGCAATCCACATGTACATGGGGTCGTATGCCAAATAATTACCAGTCGTTTAAAATCCCATGCAATGACTTGCTTGATTTTTCCATGCTGGGTTACTGTCCCCTGGCAGCACCCCTGGTGCAGATCTAGATTAATTTGGGAATCTGTTTTTCAACCGCGCTCCCTCTCGCCACCCATTTGAGTGGAAGCTGGCACTGCTGTGCAGGGTGCATTCAGGGGCTTGCTGGGGGACACAAGTTAGCAGCAGGTCCCCAAGGATGCCCACAGAAGGGGCTGCTGGTTTGGATTTGGCAAGGTGCTCTGCGCTCCGTTTTGCAGCCAGGCTACTTGGTCCTCAAAAGCATTCGGGTCGGTCCCATGAATCCAGGAGCTATAACTGGTTCTTTAGGCATTACAGAGACTCTCCCCATTTACTAAACACTCAGCATCTTGTCTTGTTTTTTGTTTTGTGTGTGCTTTCCTTTAGCTGATAGCCCCCAGCTGACACTTGGTAAACTAAGTAGTAAAAAAAACGTACAGAGTTTATAAAAGGTATTCAGCTGTTCTATCCCCATATGTAAGTGAATGAGATGAATGTTTCCTACATTTAAGTAATTTAATTTGATCTGCAACTAGTATACGCCCAACTCACATTCTCTTTTTTCTTAGGGGGATAATTAACCCTTTCCCTGCTTCAAAATACATCCGATCTTCCCCACTTCAGTGTATCTATACAGCTGAGGGACACACCAAGGCCGTGCTTTGTGTTGATGCAACTGATGATCTTCTCTTCACTGGTTCTAAAGGTTGGACAAGCTTCCTGCACCTGCTGCCACAGAGGCTGCTTTGACAACTGGGATACTGGGAAATCCCCTATTTGTGCTTAGTGTTGTATATACAGTGTAGTATATACAGTGTATTGTGGAGATCTTTTTTGTAACATAAGCTGAAGAAGGATTTCCTGTAACTAACTGCAGATTTTTAATTCCAATATCTAGTTTATTTATATTGAAAAAAGTAAATCTCGGCCTTAAGATTTGTTGAGAGGTGTGATAGAACTAGTCATGGTTCACAATGTGAACCCTATGCCTCAGGGTAAAGATACCACCAGGTAGGTGTGGGAATTAGCAGATTTCCTCTGTCTGTTTAGCCACAGAATTTGAATTGATTCTTCCTCATATAATTGACTCTTTGAGTAGAGCTATGACCGTTGACTGGTTTCCTTGTGTTTATTGTTGCCTGTCTCTTGTGGGCTGTAAGAGTTGTTTGATTCAGGATTTACTAAATTCACTACTGGCTTATATAATTCATTAACATTTTGAGGTAGTAGAAGTAGTGATTAGAAAGAGATCTTTTCTATCCCATCTGATGACTCTGCATTCTAATCACTAAATCTAACTAGAAAAGGACATAGCTGAACCTCAGTGATTGTTCTTCATAAGCATACCTTTTTTTTGTATATCACTCAAATTTGCTTTTGCTTTTTCTTGCTTCTCTCTTAATATAAGATATGTTCATATAAGTCATTTAGGATAAAGGACTATTCTTAGCCTTGAACTTTGGAATGGAGGTGTGTTCTGATTTTTATATTATTATTTTTCCCCCTCTCTTTTTCCCTTTTCTCTTTATTTAGATCGTACTTGTAAAGTCTGGAATCTGGTAACAGGACAAGAGATTATGTCTCTTGGGGGTCATCCCAATAACGTGGTTTCTATAAAATATTGCAACTACACTAGCTTGGTTTTCACTGTCTCAACTTCCTATATCAAGGTGTGGGACATCAGAGATTCTGCTAAGTGTATTAGGACACTGACGTAAGTATGTTAAACCTTAAATGAGAGGAGCTCAAACAACTCTTAAATTTAGATAAAATTCTATTAGATTTAATAAACTAGCATGGAGATCCTAATGTATTTGGGATCCAAACACAGAAAGAATGGCCTTGTCTGAGCTATTGTCACTTGGCTTTTTATGGAATGTTTCCTATTTGGGTGCTTGCCTGACCTGTCCCTACTTAGTTTGGGATCTAAGAGCATCGTAGCACGGTGTAATTCACATAGACCCTGTGTTGGAGCTGGGAGCTTTCTTCACATGTTCAGGCTCAGTCAGTGCGGGGCGTTGGTAATGTATGAGCTCATAAAACAATTTGCATCTGCATATGTAGGGTTTTGTCAGACATTTGTTATTCAAAATTGGTTTAAACCTTTTCTACTCAAGTAAATAGGCTTGTTTGCAAAAAATATATATCACGGAGAGGATATAACTCCTTCCCATCCCTCTCTTTTTACCTAGGTCTTCAGGACAAGCGATGCCGGGTGATGTGTGTTCAGGAAGTACTAACAGGACAGTCACTATCCCCGCTGGAGAGAACCAGATCAATCAGATTGCACTAAATCCAACTGGCACTTTCCTCTATGCAGCTGCTGGAAACTCAGTGCGGATGTGGGACCTGAAGAGGTAATGGGCAGTGGCAGAAAGGAGTGCTCTTTGTGTCATGTGCACATGTAGCCTCCTTTGGTCACCAAAATATTTCATTATGGTATTATCAGTATCCTGGGCAAAATAGTCCTGGACTATGGACCAAGGGATCAATTATTCCATTCTATGGTTGTAACTGAGATAATGGAAACACACTCAGCTTCCTCATGTGTTAGGGTTATAGTGAATCTTGTGGTAAGAATGATTGGAAAACCACAAGGTTTTCTATATAAGGGAAATGCTGAATAACAGGCTAACAGATGCAGTGAATCCTGGCTAGTAACCATTGGTATGATGAGAGCTGATTCACCTAATGTAAAGTAATATCTGGCTATGATAATTAGCTAGATAGCAGTTTTCCAAGCCAGAACCTACATTCAAAAAGATATGTTCAAAATGCAGAGAATACTTTGATGAGCTTTAATTGCCTTTAGTTTTAGATTTTATAGTAAAGAAAAACTATGATTTTACATAAGCAGAAGTTTTCATTTACATTTAACAATGATTTAACATTTACACGTGGATGTGAGAAACAGTGCATGTAAAGGAGAGGAGGAAAACTTGGGGAAAAAAGGTCCATTCTGACAGGAATTGCAATAGACTGTATTGAATTCATAGAAAAATAATAATAAAATAAAATCCTCAGTTATTCATGCTCTTATTCTTGAAGATTTCAGTCTACGGGAAAACTAACTGGTCACCTGGGCCCTGTTATGTGCCTTACTGTGGACCGAATTTCCAATGGGCAAGATCTTATTGTCACGGGCTCAAAGGATCATTATATAAAGGTAAACCATTAGAATTTGCCAATTTATTTCACTTTTCATTCTAGCACTGCATGCAGGCTTCAGGAGGACTCTCATGTCTCCACATCACAAATGTGGTAGCTAAGTTGGAAGTTCTTACATCAGTGAAAGATGATGAACAGTGTTTAGTCTTATTGTTACATTTATCACTTTAGTAGTATTTTTCATCTTGCAATGGAGCAATTTAGAAACTAATGTAGATCAGATGATTGTCTTTGCTTAAACTCATTCTTAATCCCTGCTAAGGTGAATATCAGGTGTATGAAGACTTGGAGAACGATTTATAACTACTACTCTTCCAAAACATTCGGGAGCAAAATGTTTCTTAAGAATTGCCAGACAGAGGCACAAGCAAAATCACTTAAGTCAGTCAGTGCCCACATTTTGGAGTGCAAGCCTCAGGGACACTGTGTGTGCTCCCTGGGGTAAAGAGCTGGATCTTAGGAGGGAGAGTAAGGTCTGTACACCTCAGGCAAGGTGCCCACATTGGGTGTATTCATTAGCACCCACTTTAGTTGCTCTTTGCTATATTCAAAGCATAAAACATGGCTGCCAACAGTCAGCAGTTAATTTGTTGTGCTCTGCTGTCCTTGTGTGCTCCCTTGCCAGGGGCACCCATGGGCTCTGAAGGTTTGCTGGGTTCTTGACCCCTAGCACAGGAAGATGCAGGGACTTTTAGCTGTGTGTATGTGCTACATAGTGTGTGCTCTGCAAGGTTAGTGCACCCACACATCACAGCATGCTGCCCTTCCCTGCCACAGCAAACTAGCTCTCTACTGAGCTGGGATATACATATTTTTAGTGGAACTCATAAATGATAGCTGAATGCTGTAGTTTTAAAAATACTTTTAACTTAGTTAAGGTATTCTTTTACATGTCCCTGTCTTACCATCAAGCTTATTCACTCTAAAAGGTCAATGAAGAGCAAATAATAAGGGATGAAGTCTGACATTTGCTTGTGAAACAGAGGTAGTGGTTGAAAAAGAAGTTTTTGCTTATCTGTTTGTCCTCAGTTTAGTCTAACTGGGTGAGTTCTGACTTGCTGCTCTGCCAAAGGAAATGGAGTGGCTTATGGTGCTCTAGGGGCAAGCAGCTGATGGCCAGATGTGCCCTAAACTGCTAAAATAACCTTATTTAAGACATCATTCATGGAGTACAAGAATGGGGAAAGAGAAGTGTCATCATGTAGTAGTATGCAAGCCTTGCAAAATAGGTTGTCCAAAAATCACAGACTCACAGATTGGTTGAGGTTGGAAGGGACCTCTAGAGAATCAAGATTAAATATTTATATTTATATATACATATATACATATATATATATATATATAAATATATTAATACCTTCCTGCAGCTTTGTTATTCTCCCAGTATGAACCATGCTCCCATACTCATTCTCAAGCTTTGTGTCTCCAGCCTACCATGTATTGTCGATAGGCTCTTCCTTGTACAAAGGGTGGGGATTTCATAATGTTATGATTTTCATAATTGCTTCACAGTGTGCATAATATATATATGTCATAATACAGCACACCTTTCCTGTAATAAGACTTCAGAGATCTTCCCAAGTTTCTGCTCTTAAATTGCTCACTGCATGTCTTCAAGATGGTTAGAGGGCAGATAATTTTGTTTAATATATTTCAATATTTGTTTATTTATTTATTTACTTCAGATGTTCGATGTAACTGAAGGTGCTTTAGGAAGTGTAAGTCCTACACACAATTTTGAACCTCCTCATTATGATGGCATTGAAGCACTTGCTATAATGGGAGACAATCTTTTCAGTGGCTCCAGAGACAATGGGATTAAGAAATGGGATTTGGCTCAAAAAGACCTTCTCCAGGTAATTTTAAATCAGGAGGCTGATACCATGGCCTTGTTTTAGAAAGTGTTTTGAGGCTGTGTAAAACTTCAAGATGGGATAATGGCTATTCCCTTAGATGCTGATATTTTTAATATAAATATATAGTAGTATCTTTCATTATATTTATAAATAAGTGATTATTACTCTCTTATTACTATTAGATTATTAGAGCTCTGAGTATGTAAGTTTAATTGTTTCACTTCATAATGAAGGCAGCACTTTTCTGTGATTAGAAGCATTGGTCACTGTCCTCACCATTGAGAAGGTTGTGAATTTTGGATTGAACTAACAAATAATGGTCTAACTTGGGCTATAAAACATTTGCTTAGAGCTTGGAAGTAAAGTTTGGAAACTTCCTTCCCTCTAGTTCTTCTCCGAAAAGTTTCCTCTTAGGTCTCATTCATCTTGTTATGTAATGTATATATTATATAGTGTATAAAACACATATAAAAATAATGTGTAGACATACTTAGCTGTTAAAAGACATTTCTGTAGCTACATGAATCTGCTATAATTTTTAAGCAGAAAGCAGCTCAAATCCAGCAAAACTTAGAGGATCATCAATAATTTATGTTTGGCATAGAATTTTTTTTTTAAAGATTTTATGAGAGATTGCTGAGTTACAGAGATGATTAAATTCGGGGCTGTGTGCTAAATGGAAGTCAGAAAAACAAACGTGACACGATGCTACTGTTTTCACAAAGACTTAGATACTAATAATTCAATAATTTGTGAGGAAGGAAGAGAAGGGCTTATGTGTGCAGTTAATATGTGGAGTGCTAGGAACAAATAGACTATAAAAGTTTCAGGACATGAGACAATAATGGACTAATCGCCATCTGTGGAACCATCTGTGTGGCAAGCTGCTTATCCACAAATACACAGACTTACAGAGCTCCCTTCAAAACTGTCCAGTTTGTTGCCCATTCGTGTTCAGACTGTTATTAAGGCATCGTGTTAGAATAAGGATTCAGAAATTCACCTTCTTGCAGAAAATATCTACTTGGCCAAGCTGGGACGCCTACCCTCGTATCTCACAGCCTAGAGATATGTGCGAAGCTGTTTGTTAGCAATAGCAGCTGTGCAATCTGTGTCCTTGGAGATTTTCAAACTCAGCTGAGCAAGGCCTTGAGCAGCCTGACCTCACTTGAAAGTTGGCCTTGTTTGGAGCAGCAGGTTTGACTATATGGCATCCACTCAATCCTTTCAACCTAAGTTATCCTATCAAAAATAACAGCAGTTTTCTTCATCCCTTAAAAAAATAGTTCTTTTGGTTTACTCAGTGCTTTTGTATGTTGTCCTTGTACAACACACACTATTTTATAAAAAAAAAAAAAAAACACACACAAAAAAAACCAAAACAGAACAAAACTGAAGAGATAAAAGCATGAGGGCATTTTCATAAAGTTATACTGCTTTTAAAACATAAAAACAACAAAAATACATCTTTTAGGTAGTCAAAGAGAGCAACTAGATGTATTTTTAGCTTTCTCTTTTCCAAGCTTGAGGAAACTTGAGTTCCCTTTAGACAGGTCTTTGTTCATCATGTTCCCCAAGCCCCAAACTGTTTTGCTGGAGATGACTAGGCTTATCCTAATTTATTAATACCCCTCATGTACTGGGCAGCTCCACGCTGGACCCAGATATTCCAGAGGTGGCTTCTCACGTACTGAGTAGTAGGGAATTATCACTGCCTATATCTGTTTTGGACTGGCTGCAATCTTGCTTAATGTCCAAATACCTGGAAAAAATAGTAGTATCCTTTTTATAGAGGATTCTTTTGTGAAAATAGAAAATAAATAGGAAAGAGCACTGAAGGAGCATCTTCAGAGAAGGGAACAGTAGAAATAGCAGGATCACAAGCCTGGACTTGAGGAGAATAGACTTTGGCCTCTTCATGGCCCTACTTGGGAGAATCTTACGAGATATGGGCCTGGAAAGAAGAGGAGTTCAGGAGAGCTGGTTGATTTTTTTCAAGGATTATTTTCTCTAGGGTCAAGAACGATCCATCCCAGTGTGCAGGCAGCCAAAGGAAAGGTGGCAGGAGGCCTGCATGGGTGAACAAGGAGCTGCTGACTAAACTCAGACATAAAAAAGAACCAAACAGGAGGTGGAAGCAGGGTCGTGTGAGCCAGGAGGAATATAGAGAACTAGGAAAGCCAGAGCTGACCTGGAGCTGAATCCCATGGGGGATGTGGAGGGTAACAAGAAAAGTATGCAGTTGTATCAGCATACAATCACAATAGACAATTACTGTATTTTTAAGTGCTACATTACAGAATCAGTTTATAATGTGTAATGGGAAGAGAGAAAGAGGGTGAATATCTCTTTCCGTGGGTATTTTTGAACAGTGTTTTGAGTTATTCTCTTATATTTGTTTTAGAACTGACAGACAGGAAAAATATGCAGAAACACTATGTGCAAAGGCCGCATTCTCCTAAGTCTAACCATTTCCATTTCATATCTTGACAGTTGGGCATATTGGATTTTGTTCTTGTTCCACAGTACTATTTAGCGAGGAAACAGAGTCTGGTTGACTTGCAGAAGTTGCCTCATGGGTGGGAGTTGGGCTTAGACCTCAGGATTTCTTGCCTTCCGTTTCTGCCCGTGCTGCGGTAGAGCCCGTAGCAGCCTCGGCAGACGTGCGTGCCTTCTGTTTTTCAGCAAGTTCCCAATGCTCACAAGGACTGGGTCTGCGCCCTGGGCCCGGTGCCCGGCGCGCCGGTGCTGCTCAGCGGCTGCAGGGGAGGCCTGGTGAAGCTCTGGAACGTGGAGACCTTCGCGCCCATTGGGGAGCTCAGGGGCCACGACAGCCCCATCAATGCAATCTGCACCAACTCCAGCCACATATTCACTGCAGCAGAGTGAGTTTTCTTCTCCGTGAATCTTTCTTTTCTGTAGCTCTTGCTAAAGGTCTGCCCTTGCACATTCCTTTAGGAGATCTTCATTTGTTTGAGGCACTTCACAGCAAACATAGGCAGACCTGGTCCATGTCTCTAAATGCTTATAATCTTCAGCATGACAGAGTGAATTTTACCAGCTAGTCCCTAGCTTTGGGATATTTATTGCTAGAAAAATACTGACTGCTGATCTGTGGGGTTTTTTTGAATAACTTTTTTTGTTTTTATATGCTGTCTTATAACAGAAAATTTTCAAGCTCTTTTTATATTTGAATCAAATTTGATTTGAGTATTTATATTTGCTTCCTTAGTAAAACTGGGCACATTCACTACCTGAAGCCTCAGGAAACTTGACCAAGAAAAATACATAATTTTTGAGAAAGCCCACTTAGTAGTTTAGTTGCAGCACATGAACTGTGGAAGTTGTCATGTTATATTCTGGTGCTAATTACTGAAGCTTTCTGAATTAAAGCAAGACTTTCTGAACTGAAGCAGGGCTACTTCACACTAGGGAATTGCAAGATTTTCATGTTTATTGGCCAATATTTATATGCAAGCATGCACAGATATGCGTAGAGATGTTAAAGTTTATGCCTCCCCCAGGTTTGCTTGAAGTTGTTAATAAGTTTAGACATAAATGTGAAATTTATTTTTTATTAGTACCAAAATAAAATCTCAGGAGCATTAAGGCAAGTGCTTTTTGTGCTTCAGAGTGCTGTACTGTAGTACACTGGCTGCCTGCGTGTAGTCTGCTAATGGTGATCGGTTGAAGCTCTTCTCTGGGGTCAGTCTAGTTTAGTCTGTTGTTATTTGTTGTACTTAAAAAAACAAATTAGTAACAGAGTAGGATATAACTTCAAGACTTGCCAACATGGTTCAAGGTGAGCTATGAAGGCCAGTGTTCTGATAAGTTTAGAGAACATTGACACATGTTAGATTTTAAAGTTTCCTCATTTCTTTATAATGCCTTTCTGAATAAAACACATGAGCTTTTTAAAAAACTTTATTTCTCCCTACCTGCCCCCCTCCTAAATTAATTACTAAATTCTCTTTCTGCTTGTCTTGTTTTGTTCTCCAGTGACCGGACTGTGAGGATCTGGAAAGCCCGAAATGTAATGGATGGGCAGAGCTCGGACACTGGAGATGCAAGTGAAGATCTTGCCAGTAATTGAAATAATGGGTAGAAGTGGGTATAGCGATGAAGTTGCAGTGCACTCTGTAGTTTGCTGCATGCTCGTTAGGCAAACACTGATGACTGGAATGAGCTGAGAAATAAGAGTGAACTCCTCTGATAGAACTGCTGTCCTTAAAACATGTACTGTATTTGAGAAAAAAGTAATCTCCTGGTAATATGCTTCTGTCTAAATGATCATATATATATCTATATATAATGGCTGACTTTGTGTGCATATGTAACACTTGCAATTTAAATTAACTGGAAATTGGTCTTCACTAATGACTGTCTCAAAATTATATCCTGGAATATATTAAATAAGTGCTCTGCTGTATTTCACTCACAAGTATGATGAGCTGTTTTGCATTTTAGGGTAACATGGGATAATCGTATCCCATTAATAAGCCTTTGATGAAGACAGACTTTGTTTCAAACTTCTAAAAGGTCACTTAGCTGTTATGAAAGTGAAGTGAATAAAAGATGAGAGGAACCTGTTAGTGGCAGATCATTCTGATATGAGTGTAGCCTGCTAACAGTGAGCGCCATATGATTTGTGTTAATGTTACCATATAATCCTTGCTGACCAAAGTTGTGCAGCTATGTATGCTCTGTGCTCAGGACTAGAACTAAAATGCTCATAAAGTGGTACGTTTTATTCGTGTTTTGCCTACATTCTGCTCTGACTACGTATTCTTAATGTCATAACAGAAATATATCTCAATCTATTTTTCTTATGGATTTGTTTCTATCATCTCACATTTTCTTTTTTTAAGCAAAATGTCTTTCCTTTTTATCTAATTTTATATGCTGCTAAATGTATTTTAAAAACACTGTTTTGCAAACCTTGGCAGTTACAATGAGAACTGAACCACGTGTATGGGAAAAAGCGATGTAAATAGAGGGTTGTACAAAGAGAATATCTTATCTTGTGCCTGTATGAATTTTTAAAATTCTTAGAGTGTGGGGATATTGAGGGAGGATGTATAATTTATCCAGCTGCTCTGAGTATTAATTTGTAAATTCTGCAGATTTAAAAATTTTGTGTAGATTTAAGAACTGTGTTTGAATGTTGAGGTTTTTTTGCAGAAAATATCAGTCTGTAAATTATAGCTTATATAGGTGACAAATAAAGACGTGAATGTGAACCACTTATCTTTGCCTTTTTCAACATTCTTCCTGTAAAGAAATCCCTTTACTTGCGAAGGCCTCAAATATAAAATATGCAATTTTCCATAATGCAATAGAATGGCTTGCAAAATAACCCAGAGGTGGTTGTGGTGTCCCATTTGAGTGTTCTATCCACCTGTTATTTGTATTTTCAGAGTATTTTAGTATAAGGAAATCCTACTAGGATTCCTGAATGCGGTACAAACTTTAAATGAAGCAGTTGGGCCCTGTTCTTCAGAGATCACATTAGCACCTACAGTCTCTCGAGCAAACACAAGCTCTGGTGTCGTTTGTTCATTTAGGGAATTATTTCCTTCTCAGTCCTGTCTGAAAGGAGATGAAAATGCACACTGCTTGTCACTTGTGGTTACTGGCTTAGTCCACCTTTAGGCAAAAATGAATAGCAATACCTGTTTCTAAGAATATTGTGGAGGTTGGGAGTACAACACTAATTTTCATCCCTGCTGTTTATCTGTCTTGCCTTCTGGCTACTTGAAGGGTATACCCAAGAGATCTGGGGGACCACATCCCATCTTTGAGGAAAAACTCTCAGTAACGAGGTTAACGAGCGAGGTTTGTGTGCGAGTCCACGCGGGTCTGGTGGAGGGAGCCTCTTCGGCCTGGTCCCGTGGCTGAAGGCTCCTCGCTGCAGAGGTGCCGGCGCCTCGGTGGCCTGGGGCTTTGGAGCCTGAGCAGGGGGGCTGGGATGGTCATGGCCTGGGACGCCCGGGTGTGTCAGCACGTGCTGGGCACGTGTAGGGCTCATCTGACTGGTGTGCTTCTCCCCTGCAGAACCCAAGTCCTCACGGACCCTGGAAGCTGCCGCTGGCCGCCGGGCTGCTCTTCAAACGGGCCAGATGGTGAGGGGCTGGTGTGAAAACAGTCCAAGTTGCAGGTGCTTCTCTGGTAACGCTTAAAAACACACAGACATTTCATTTTAAAAATATACTTCATGCTCGACACCCTATGTAACTGTTAGGCAGTATCTGTCTAGAAAGATATTTCCTCTGGAAATACATTCCATCTAAGTCAAATCTTGCCACAGAACACACAGATTTACTTTGATGGTTCTTTTCATTTAATAATTGGAAGAAAAATGTCATTTTGTAAAGGTTGCAATATCAATTTTGTGCTTTATTGAAAAATCTTCCGCTGTTTTTCTCCAAACTCTTGATTCGTAATATAATATTACATTGTGACAAAACATCAGATGCAAAAAAAAAAAAAAAAAGGTAAACACTGGTAAAAACTTTTTCATTCACTTCAGATATTTGTGTAAAAAATGAAGAGGGTCATTGAAAATTTAATTCTAAAGGGACTAGGAATAGCCTTGGGAAAAAGATTTCGTCGAAGTAGGCATTCAACTTGTCAAAGTTTGTGGTAAATAAACTAGGTTGTGTCTTACCTGCTTAGATACATCTGTATATGCATGCAGGATCATGTGCTACAATTAATCTCATGAAAGATATGAAATTTCAGAAAAAAAAATGCAATGTCTCATGTTACCCTCCTGAACAAGTGCTTATCGTGCCTCTGGGCAGTATAAAAGGGAGCACGTGTTGTGCAGAAGTCAGCAGTTGACCATGGGGAGAATCAAGAGTCTCTGCTTCTTGGCTGTTGTACTAGCAGGTAATTACACATTATTTCTACTTTGTTGTAGGCTTCAGAGACAGGATATAAACTTTGTAACAGAAATTAGAATTAGAAATTAAATTAGAAATTAGAATTAGAAATGGTTAGGGGTGAGATCTGCCACATTGTACATGGAAAAGGAGGAAAAAGGGAGTCTTTAAGTCATGGGAGGTGCCAGGTGGCTATGGGAATGCAGCAGGTCCAACTTGTTTAGAAGTGTACCCCAATATTTAGCTCTTCAGCACAAGAATAGACAGGCTGAAGTTGATAGCACTATTCAGCTGCTGAAGGCCCTTTGCTAGTTTATTTGCTGCGATATTTTAAAGGGGTTGATTCAGTCTGGAGTGTAACGAAGGGAGAATGGGCCTAAGCAAAGCAAAGGAGAATCTCTGCAGTGACTACCTCTTTGAAATGTGCAAATGAACCCAAAATGTGAAGGCAAATACTATATAACTGGAAGGAGAACGGTAATATTTTAATTCCTTGTTTATGGCTTATTGCAGCATTTTCTAACCTAATTTCACAAAATTATAGTAAGTAAGTAGGGACAATTTTTCACATAAATCATTCAAAACACCTCTCTTTAGCTTCTGTTCCCATGGAAATTATCATGAAAAAGCAGCAAGTAGCCACAGCTATTGCTAAATTCAGCTGCTCATTTGCATTTCATTTCCCATGTATGTTTACAAAGAACTGGGCCATAAGTGCAGTGAAAATGATTTAGAGGCTTTAAAATATAATAGTTTTTAATAAGTAGGGAAGGGAAATGGGTTCTAGCATCTTCCCACTTGCCACTATCCCATTTGTACCATAATAGAAGTAACCCTAGAAACCAATGGTGAATGAGTCCTTGCCCAACTCCTGGATTCAAGTATTGGTTTTCGAAGTCTGATGGAAAATTTATGCTCACACTGATGAAAGGTGAAATTAAAAATTTTCCTTGGCACCTGCAGAGACAGAAAAATTTCCATATAACCTTATTTTTATGTTTTTTTTTTAAATTACGCAAATAAGTTGATACAAGTCTCCTGTGAACTTAGGCTGTGCAGAATGGCACTTTGCTCTTAATGTGCTCAGTCGTGTTCGAGCATACTGTCCGATTTCAGCGATGGAAACAACCTACACTTCATTACAGTCCCAGTAGAAGCATCGGTTAAAGTGAAATGTGGAGGATTTACTGTGTTTTGACTGTTCTTGTATTTTTTATATCACCCACCAAGCCACTATCTAGACATGCAAGGCGCCACCACACAAAGCTGCTGAGGGCAGAGGTGCTGTGTGTTTGACGGGTGCTTGGTGTAGGATTTTATAGTCTTTGCAGTTGCTCAAGGACCTCAGAAACTGGAGGGCTGAAGGAGGCCTTTGAAATCCTTTCATCCCTCCCTCATTAACCAGGAATATTTGGTGTGCAGTGATGCAAAGACTTGACAGCACTTTCCATGGGACTTGCAGTCTGTGTTTCTCTCAAGCCTTTTCAGGGATGGGGCATCAAATCTGGGCACTTCCATCCCAAAATCTAGAGTGTTTAAATCAGGCTGTTGACGATTCCTTCCTGATTTCTGCTCCACAAAGTAGCCACGTAGGGATTCCCGTGGGATGGCTGCATTCCTTACTCACCTTTTATGCTTTGGATGAAAAACAGGATCGGAATTCAAGGTCCTTTTGTGTGTCCAAACACAGAGTTAACGAAGGCTGGGCAGAAAGTGGCCAGCCTGGCAGGGAGGGCTCCCCACCATGAAGCACTAAAGTGGGAGCCAAGTTGGTCTCAGGACTCAGGTGCTCAGTTCCTACCTCTAGCAGGTTACAAAGGGCCCTCCGCGTGCCAGTGATGAGTTAGTTATAGTGCAAACCCCAGCACTGCTGGCAATGTCAGACATGAGCCTTTCCCTCCTGGGTGCTCAGCACTGGCTCTGAACCACTGGGAATGTCCAGGGCTGAAGACACGTTTTACATTTTTCTAAAAATATAAAGCTGAACACTAGTAAGCTCTCACTTCATTCCCCTCCTCTATTTGGCAGTAAATGCTGGCCTAGTGGATACATTTCTATACATTTCTAGATATATATACATATATACCTATACATTTCTAGTGCATATACAGTGCATATACATTTCTAGTGAATCTGCAGTTCTATATCTTTTCATTATATAAATTATTGCTTGTGTACCTCTATGTGGAAATGTCCCTGTGTGCAGAAGGGCTGCATGAGCAATCCTGTTGCAAGTTTTCAGGTGCACAATAGTCCACACCAAAATTTTTAAAGCAGAGGTATTAGTCATTTTATAGAGAAAAGAAATTGTTTTTCAAGTAGCTTTAATCCCTGCATATTGTCGTAATGACTAAAATGACACAAGTTACCTTCAAAACAAGTGTGCTGTCTGCCATACGCCTGCTCTCTTTTCAGCATTTGATAACAGAGTATTTTGTTATCACAGTAGGGAGCTAGCGGTTCAATCCCCCTGACTTCCGTGGGTTGTTCCTCCCAGGGGAATAGGGCTAGACCAGCAGCTTGGAAAAGGGAAAGATTTAGTGCCTTATGCAAGAGGTTTTCGTCAGAATGATTCTGAGAATGACTAATTTGTGCTTTTCTTTTACCATCAGTATTTTCCTTTTAATCACAACCCCACCTATAGTAGAAACCTAATAACAAACATATGTTGTATGTAATATATAAATGAAGCAGTAATACAAATATATATGTAATCATCGTTATATGTTGATGCATATATGTTCAATATGTGCTGCTTTCACATATTCATGTGTGTACATGTACATTTAGCCCTTACGAGAGTAGACCTCCCTTTCTGCTAGACTGGAGAACTGTTCTCATGCCTCGGGAGCAGGTTCATTATTTCCCTGTTTAACCTTCCTTGAGCATTTCTAGTTAGTCCTGCTCCAGCAGGACCCTGGGGCCGTGGCACAGGGCCGGGAGGACCTCTCTGTGGGGGTGGTGTGCAGAAGGAACTAGATGCTCTTGTTTCAGTCACTCTGAGGTCACCTCCATTGAAAGAATCACGTATTTCAGCTCCCAAATGGGAAAACCCCGAAGTTTGCATTGCTTTTTACTCACCTCTGAGAAGTTTGCACTGTGCTTTGACTGCTTTTATTCATTTCCTGGTTCAGCGCTAGGGCCGAGCCTTTGCTCGGGCGAAGACCTGCAGGGTTCGCAGGATACCTCCGTGAAGAGCCGCATCGACTGCCACCCGCAGCCCGGCGCCTCCCAGGAGGGATGCGAAGCAAGGGGCTGCATCTGGAGCTCCACCGAGGTGCCGAATGCCCCCTGGTGCTTCTTCCCAGAAGACAGTCCCTACGGCTATTCCCTAGCTGGGAATGCAGAAAAGACAACTAAAGGCTTGAGGTAAACCTGCCAGGCATCCTGCAACACTGCATTCTTACACAGTGACAGGGATGGGGCATCACAGGACTCATTAACTTGGGTCAGCACCAGCCTGGATTCCTGTTCTTGGCCTAACAGTAATTTGTTGGAGAATGTCCACGCATTATTTTACCATCCTGTGCCCAACTTGTGAAGGTGGGACCCTTAGGTCTCCCCTTAGGACAGTTAGCACATACATTTGAGCTAGTTACATTCCGTTAGCAGTGACAAGAACAGGTCCTTGTACAAGGTGGTTCAACGTCATCCTAAGAGCTGTGCCTTCAACAGGCTTGGAAACTTCTTCCTTGGGAGTACCTTTTTTGTTCCTTAACTATAAGGGGAGCCTAAGCTGACTCTCTTGGATCCAAACATCTAAATTTGGTTTTAAGCCTGGACAAAATAAATGCTACCACAATCTACTCTCTACTTTGTAGGGTGCTGTGATCTCTACTGGTGAAGGATCAACAGATAAGAGATGATGAAAATCACAAATGATTTGATTGGAACACCAAGCACCATCTACATGAGGGTTGATTTGAGGATGAACATATGGTTGTACAAGTCTTAGCACTGTGCTCCCAGGCTGTGATGTACAGGCCTTCTCGCCATATGACTGTATGGCTTGGTTGGAAAGGACCTTTGGAGATCATCTAGTCCAAACTCCTGCTCAAGTAGGGTCATCTAGAGTAGATTGCCCAGGACTGTGTTCAGATTTTGGATATCTCCAAAGATGGAGACTCCAAAATCTCACTGGGCAACCTGTAAGCACAGCTACAAAAGAAGTTTCTGCAGAAACTTCTACTAGAGAAAGCAGCCTGCTAGAATCTCAGCAAGCAGAGCCAAGGCTGATGTTAGCAAAAGAAAGATTATATTCAGAGATTACTCCTCTAGACAAACTAAGGACTTTTTATGGAGTTGAGGCATAATAAAAGTTGCTTCCTCCCCCATTTTGTAGTGTTTATGTTCTGGGAGCTGTGGTGATTGGCATTAAAAAGTGTTTCTCTCGCAGGGTAACACTGAACAAACTCCAGAAGTTGTCGCTGTTTGGAAATGACATTTCTCCCGTTGTCATAGATGTGGAGTTCCAGAAAAGTGACAGACTCAGGTTTAAAGTGAGTATCCAAAAGAAAAAAAAAATCATTTAAGCTATATGGCATAAACTAACAACAACAAAAAAAATAACTCGCCTTGGTCTCTCCTTGCCTTGGTTTAGATATATGATCCTAACAGTGAGAGATTTGAAGTTCCACTCCACATTGAATCCCCCTCTGTTGCTGCTGCTGACACCAAATACGACGTTGAGTTTGATGATGTTACTTCTCACTTCACTATCAAGAGGAAAAGCACTGGCACAGTGCTGTGAGTACAAAATTTATTAACCTTCTTTTGCAGAAAGTAAGAATGAAGAGAGAAGCACTATTTCTCATACATTCTTGCGTGGGTCTCTGGAACGTAGGAAAAACGTTTTTTTCCTTCCAGCTATAAATTGGATATGTCATATACATAAATTTATGCCTTGTACCTAGAGAACATTCATTATTAATATAAGTATATGCCTGTGTAATGGGTGAATATGTACATGAATGCAGTCAAGTTGTCCAATAAGACAAATAATTTTGTGGGCAAAGTTTCCTATAGCAGAACTTGAGGTGCTGGTAGACTAAACTTGCAGACTGCACTGAAGTGCAATTTTCTGAATATTCTGATATTTTAGTACAGTGCGTCTTGTCACTCTTGCGAATGATGGTCTAAGAAAGTAAATCTTATCCCCATCGAGGCCTTAATCCTCTGACTTCCACTGGTTTCAATGGGTTGAAGACAGTGAATGGCATTTGTGCGTCTAGTTTGTCACACTGCAAAAGTACTACTTGTTTTAGCAGCTGGTCCTGTACTTTTTAAGGAGGTCAGCAGGTTTTATAGTATCTCATTTTCTTGCCTTTGGCCAGCACACCTCTTCTGTGTGACTCTGTTGAGCAAAAGATTTGTAGTACCAGGTCGCTTTGGCAACGCTCTGGGTCAGCGTTAGCAGCAGCCTACAACTGGTGCAGAGATAAATTCGGGTGTTGCAGGCTGCTCTGTGGTATCGCGTTCCCAGGCAGGTGAAGGACATGGACAGAACATATAAATATGGGTAGAGTTGCAGCAGGACTGCAGTGCACAGGAGTCTATGGTTGTGTCTGTATCAGTGTTTCAGTTCCCGTCAGTGGCACATTTTGGGTCTCCTGATTAAGCCCAGTTGTTTTGCCTTGGCTCACACTGCAGTGCTCTGGAGGGACATGAGTGAGGCTCCTTCTTTATGAAGTGCAGGGGCAGCTGTAGCCTCTGTAAAGCACATGCTCAGATTACTGGGGTATTTTTATGCGTTAGGTAACCTAACCCTAAGTCAAAAAGCAAAACAAAGCAAAGCAAAAAAAGCAGGTCAAATATTTTTCCCCAGAAGCTCTTTATTATGCAGCCTCCAAGTATAAACATCATGTTTGCAAGAAATGTGTAGAGGGCATAACGTGGGTGGTTCACATAAGGGAATGTGGCCTCTAAAGAGGTCTGAGTCTGCAGATGGAACCAGCGCACTGGGCTCTTAATTAGCTGCCCATTCTTTTAAATTACAATCTTGCAGCATCTCTTTTTATAGACGTCACAGCCAATTCTGCAAAGTTTTCTTTTTATAGGCGCTTGTAAATGAATGTATTATGCATTACTCAGATAACAAAAATAATTTAATTCCTTTTTAGACTTAACAGCTTTGTGGGAACAGAAGGCTTAAGTTAAAGCCCCCCCTCTTTTTTTTCCTTCTTTGTACTAAGAGATTCTTACAAGGACTCATTAATTGGAATTGATGGAAGAGGTGAATGCATACTGAGCACCAGCTCGCTCATAGCATGTTCCCTTTCACTCCTCCCCACCTTGAACCAAAGCCCAAGAGTTTGGTCTTGGGTATTCAAGACCTCTTCTGATTTGGAGTGTCCTGGTTAAGGAGAGGGAGTGAAGCAAATGTAGGATTTGATTTGTTGAGCTGCCAATATCTCTGCGCCGATGAGAGCGAGAGACGGGTCAGTCCTTGCTGAGCGATTTCCAAGAGAGCCCCGGGGCTGGAGCGGCCGCAACTTCCTCTCTCCTCACACAGATAGGGCACATCCAGGTAGCTTTCCGAAACTTTGTGCTCCTCCGAAACTTGTGACTTTGGGAGAGGAGAGAGCTGCAAGGCAGAGGAAGGTAGAGGGCACTCTTGGTTAATATCAGTCGCCCGGGTTTCAGTGGCAATGCCGCTGTCGAGCATCACCATCAGAAAAGTGTGCCTTGTGTCAAGGCAGGCAAGGGAGTTCTTTTGAAATCCAACCAACTTTAAAAAAAGGAAATTACAGGTAAATATTACACCCAGTTAATGGGTTTTTATCCTGCAAACATTGGCATTGCTGCTACTAAAAGATTCTCATCAGCAGAGAGACATGGCATTTTGCATATAGAAAGGAAAATTATATGTTCCCAGGAAATTTTGTTTCATGTCAAATGGCACAGTGGGTACTTATAGATTGAAGGATCACATCCCAGCAGGGAGCAATTCCTCTCACAACTGAATCACATTTGGAGTGAAATTCCCTCTGTGAGGAGCAAAAATGTTTTTCATTCTTTCCTTGATCCAGCCCCTCAGAGTGATGACTGTGGGTGCTCAGCAATATCTCCATGTCTTGATTAGAGAATCACAGAATGGCTGAGGTTGGAAGGGACCTCTAGAGTTCATTTAGTCCAAGCCCCTCCGTGCTCCAGCAGGGACATCCAGAGCATGTGGCACAGGGTGGCATCCAGGTGGGTTTGTAAGGTCTCCAGAGAAGGAGACTCCACAACTTCTCTGGGCAGCCTGTTCCAGGGCTCTGTCACCCTCACAGAAAAGAAGTTCTTTTCCTCATATTCAGGGATTTATAGCTTTATAACAAGTGATTTACTTAATAGTAGAGGACAGTGGCATTTGTGTGAGTGGAGAGGATGGAGCTATGCTGAAGGGTATTTGGGAAGTATTTCACCAGCTGTCTAGATCCAGGGAGCACTGTGTGACCTTAAACAGAGTTTTGGCCTAGTTAAACCTGCCCAGAAGCAGGTTCAGTCACACAGGAGATCTACATCCAAGCTCAGGCTTGCTGGATGCCACAAACCAGCAGTGGGAACCACTGTGGATCCATGGGAATTTTCTCCCTGAGGTAGGAATATCCAAACCGTTTATAGCCTACTAGCTGGGCAGTCAGGTCTGCATCTTCCGCCTCCTGCTGTTGGGCTGCAGCTGCCGCAACTGCCACAGCCCGGGGAATGAGACCCAGGCCAAAGTGGTGCTCTCTGCACTGATGCCAGTGGTTGTTTCAGGTTGTTTCAGAGTCTGAGCATGGTGGTTTCCCAGCTGTGCTCTGGGGTTGTCTCCCCTGAAAAAAGCAACACTGCTTTCCTGAGCATCCCCTGAGCAGCACAGCCCCTTCCCAACACCCTTCCCAGGTGCGTGAGATGTAGCATCCCACACTTCATTGATACCCAAGCTGGCCTGGCTATTTCCTCTTAGGCATGTAGGAAACACTCTCTTTCATTCCATTTTCCAGGGAGGTAAGGGGAGAGTGTGGGGTATTTCCCTTTTCTTTCCTCTCCATGGGACGGTGCGAATTGGTATGAGGAGAACCAAGGGCACCCCGGGAAGACTCTGTGGTGATGGTTGTCTTCATCTTTGCCCTCTTCTCATCCCAAAGTCAGCAGCGAAGGCACTAAAACCTTGTTTCTCCTCTGAACGCCTCATGAGCTGTAAATTGCTCATGCAGGGACCCCAACACACCGGGGACCAAGCGTTGAACTGCACAGCTGGCCACTTCCACACTCAGAGCAACATGTCCAGACTAGGAAAACGTCCCTGAGAAACAGTCAAGCATTTAACATCTGTAGGGATTTGTCTCCCCTTCTTCTAAGATGTATATGGCTGTGGCCTTGCCATCTCAATGAGCATCTGAATCAATCATTCAGGCATTAATTTTCATATGCACACAAATATTGATCAAAAATAGTTGATGTGGACAAATGAAGCCTATCTGGGAGGTGCTGCAATTGCACTCCCCATGCTTGAATGGATAATACATAGCGTCTGTACAAAAACAGATCCCTGCTCACTGCTGGATCTTTCTGGCATGGCTCAGGAAGGATTTCCTATTGTAAAGCAACCCCAAATGCACAGAAATCTGTTTTACATGATGCACTTTATCTCTCACCAGCAGCTTTGCAGTGTTGAATGACCCACTAAAAAAGAAACCTGAAAATCGTCGTAATCCCCAGAGTGTTGTCTCTTCTTGCTGGGAGTACTCTGGTGCGACTGATACAATCTGCATGGGGAACAGTCCGTCTCAAGCAGAAACGTATTATGATTTTGAGTAGTTCACTACAATAGTTGCTTTGAACATTCACATTTTTATTTCTCATTCATCCTTCCCATGGTGCAGCCTCTAGCCTGGGTTCGATAAATATGGGTTTGTGCATTAAACTTTCTAGCAATGAGATAAAGGACATGCAAAGATTACGGCAAAATCATGTTCTGCCCACTTGATATAAAAATCTATCCTGGCTCTTGTGTACACAAAGCCTACTTGTGAGGAATGATTTAATACCGCATTGAAAATATTGCAGAGGAGAGGAAATACCAATCTAGAGACTGCAGATATTCCTGAAAGTGATTTATAGGCATTTCTCCCACTCGTGCGCAAGGAGCCCTGGTGATATCAGCACTACTTGAGTATCGGCTCAGAGAAGGCAGGATAAAGTCAGAGCTATGTGTAATCACAAAAACCAGGGAGAGGAATGAATTATGTAAGGGAAGAGCCATTAACAGCTGATTGCAAACCTCATGTGGAGCCAGGATCAAGAATAAAAGGCAAAGTCCTAGTACATTTCAGCTTGCTCCAAGGTAATCAGGCAACAGCAACTGCTTTGCCTGCATGGGGTCAAGATTAGATGGGGTTATGCAGGGAAATGATCCAGGCGCCCCTGGGTGCCGGAGCCCGTGGAAATGCCGGTGGGCGGCTCTTGGCTCTCGGCCTGCCTCCACGCCTCCGGCCCCGTAAGGCATCTTAGCTTTCTCTCACACTCTTCCTCTTACCTCATTTATCTGCTTTTGTTTTTTCTGCCTCACCTGATCTTGCTTGATCCAGCCCCATTTCCTTACCCCTTTCTGCATTCCTGTTATCCCTGCCGTGTCCCAGGCAAGTCCTCTCCTTTGCCAAGAACAGGTTGGGTTAGAGGTAGGGGAAGGCAGAACTCTATAAAAATTGCTTATAAAAATGCCAGGTGCTTTTCATTGTGCCAGGAACATAACTAAAGCCTGCAGCTGATTTAAAGCTCCA